GCTGTGCTCAGGGAACATGGGTCCTGGAAGGAAAGGTGTAGGTGGGCGTCAGACCACTGTCCCTGTCACAAAGAGCTCCAGCAATGGTGTACTTACTGAGCTGTAGATGTAAAACTGTACCTGGAGCTCCCATGTGGGCGCTCTTTCTCTTAGAGAACTCTCTCTAACCCCTAAGCCCTCGTTGTCCCATCATGCTCAGCTTCCCATGGACCTCAAAGGCTGTGGGGTTTCCTCACCGGCATGAGCCAGACCTTGGCTGACCCCAGTCAGCAGGCTCGGCAAGGCTCGGGATGAGACCTGCCGCAGGGACTCTTAGTCCACCTGTGGTTCCGTGGCTGCGTGGCCCTGGGAGCGGGCTGTGTCTCTCTGTAGCCCTGCTGAGAGCCTGAACATACAGGGGGTGCAAAGCCTTAGAGATCTCTGTGAGGAGAAGAGAGGGAAGAAAGGAAACACAGGCTTACTGAGGCAGCTGGCCCCGGAGCCCTGGATATCAGCCAGGCCTTTCCTGTGCCTCACTGGCTTCTCACCACAGGGGAGGGAGAAGCTGCTGGGCCCCGTGTCACACACAGGAAACTTGAGGATCCGCAGAGGTGATGTGTGTTCCATAGTCACTCGCTGAGTAAAAACCACAGCCCCCAAAGGCCAACCGCAATGACGTGTCTCCTAAGCCTCCATTTGACTGCTTGTGGGCCTTAGCTCTCATGAGAGGGCGGGGAGGAGGCGGGGACGGCGAGAGAGTGCTGTCTCAGGAGCCTGGAGCATCAGCGTTTGGACCTGGGCTCAACCGCTCCTTTGATCTCTCCCTGGGGGGGAGGGGGTCATCCGACCTTCCTGTGCCTTGCTCCTGGTGGTGTAGAGGGTCACACGTTGGACTGCTAACCGCAGGGTCAGCAATCCAAGACCACCAGGCTCTCCAGAGGAGGAAGATGAGGCTGCCCACTCCCGTCAAGACTGACCGTCTTGAAAGCCCACAGGGACCTCTCCTCTGTCCCCTAGGGCCACTGTGAGCCAGAATCGACTGGATGGCAGGGAGTGTTTTTGGAGTTCCCTCACTTTAAAGGCCCCCCCACCCCAAACCGGCACAATTCTCTTGGGTCTCAGTCTCCCCACTCGCTCTTGACTCTCCCTCAGCTGTCCCTCCCGTGTGTCCCATTTCTTCGGACACAGGACCTTTGTCCCTGCTGTCCCCTCCACCTGACCCTCCCTGGCTTCTCTCCCTTCAGGCCTTAGATTCAGCATTGTTTCCCCGCTACCACCCCCTAGCGCCCCTGCCCCCATGAGACCATTCCAGCCCAACCAGCTTGGTGACCTTGGCCACGTTGGCTCCACGCTCAACTCCTGCACGGCCCACCCTGCGCGTGGTGACAAAAGAAACATCCAGACCATTGAGCAGACACGCAGGCCGCTTCTTCAGGCCTTGGTGTGGAGCTGGTACGCTGTCCAGCTCTGCCCTCATCCCATTGGCTAAGGCAAATTTGTGGCCAAGCCCAACGTAGGCAGGGCGAGCAGGACACCCTCCGGCACATCCTGGTCGCCCGAGCTCCAGGCATGAATGTGCCTCTTGGGCAGCACTGGCTGAGACTTGGCATTTCTCAGAGACCCAGGGGGCTGCAGCCAACCATCTTACCCCCAGCTCTAAGCCTGCTGCTGGGCAGGTAGTAGGTGCTCAGGAAATAGGTGAAAGAACGCACTCATGCATGAGGCTTCTGAGGAGGGGGTGGTTTGGGTTCTCGTCTCCCCCCAGCTCACCTGCCCTGTCCCCTGGCCCCGGGCTGGTGGGAAGGCTTTAAAGGTGAGCGTGACCACTGGCGCAGCGGGCGGACCATCTGCATCAAGACTCACGAGAGTGGCCAGAAGGAGATCGAGGCCTTCGATGCTGCCATCCTCCTCATCCGGAACCCCTACAAGGCCCTCATGGCAGAGTTCAACCGGAAGTACGGAGGCCACGTGGGCTTCGCTGCCCACGCCCACTGGAAGGGCAAAGGTACTGCTGGGAAGGGGTGGGCGGGGTCTGGGGGCGCGACTGCTCGTGGGAGGAGTCTAGGAGGACCTGAGTCGTCAGATACTTCATCCTTGACCTACTCTGCCCGTGAACACTCTTCGGGTGAGGCGGCTCTGCCTTGGAGAGAACCTGAAAGCCAGCTCACTGCTGTCCAGCCCACTCCGAATTACACCCGTGGGCCCCCTGTCCAGCCACCCGCCCGCACCCACCTCTGTCCCCTCCAAGCGAGCAGTTAGGGTAGGAGGTGACATTGCATGGTGACATTTATGCACTGGTCCCCATGCCCCCGGGTTATTTATGCATGGAAAACCATTGAAAGCGAGCTTTAGGCAGAGCCCAGGCTGAGAGGCAGGAACCTGCCCGCCCAGGGAGCAAGAATCCACCTGCCAAGGACCCAAGCCTTCATCTCACGTCCTCTGGACACAGTATTGGGAGAGGCCAGGCCCTGGAGAGGGACAGCATGCTCGGTGCAGTAGCAGGACAGTGAATGGAGAGGCCCTCTCGGAGCCGGAGTGACTCCGTGGCTCTCACATGAGAACGATTGGGAGGACGGCCCAGCACCGGGCACGTTTGGGTCTATCGCACGTTGAGTCCCTTCAGTTGGAACTGACCGGAGGGCACCTAAGAACGACGGTCTGTGCCCTTTCTAAGGTGACCAGACGTCCCGCTTTTGAACAATTTGTCCCGTGTTCCGTGGCGTTTTTAAAAATTCCCATTTTTTGAAAAGAATGCAGGACAAGCTAGGGTATATGGTTTTCGGCTGCCAGGTGGCTAGTTTGCCAGGATAGGAGTTTTATCAATGGTGTCCCGCTTTACCAATGTTAAAATGTTAGGACCCCACTGCTGCGCACTGCTCCTGGGGTCGTGGTCCAGTGGCTTCAGAAAAGGCTGTGCCGTCAACGTTCTCGGGAGCAAGACTTTGGGTTTTCTACTCCCACAGAGTTACCGTCTCTGAAGCCCACGGGGGCAGTTCCTCCCTGTCCTACAGGGTCGCCCCGAGTCAGAATTGACCGGACGGCAGTGGGTCTGTTTGTTGTTTGTCAATGTTCGAATGGCACCCTAGGCTAAGGGACCACAGAGGGTCCCAGCCACCACCCAGGCTGCCACTCCCTTTGCCACCACCTGCCAAGGCAGAGCCCCTTGCTTCACAAGATGCCCCTCAGCGTATCCTCAGCACCTTCTAACCTGAGGATCTCATCTGAGAGACTTCCAACTCAGAGGATGTACCCTGGTACAGACAGCAACTGGAAATACAGGGAATCCAGGGCAGATGAGCCCTACAGGACCAGTGGTGTGAGTGGCGATACTGGGAGGGTAGAGGGAGAATGGGTAGGAAAGACGGAACCGATTACAAGGAACTATATGTGACCTCCTCCCTGGGGGACGGACAACAGAAAAGTGGGTGAAGGGAGACGTCGGACAGGGCAAGAAATGACAAAATAATAATTTATAAATTATCAAGAGCTCATAATGGAGGGGGGAGCGGGGAGGGAGGGAAAAATATGAGGACCTAATGCTGGGGGCTTAAGTGGAGAGGAAATGTTTTGAGAATGATGAGGGCAATGAATGTACAAATGTGCTTTACACAATTGATGTATGCATGGATTGTGATTAGAGTTGTATGAGCCCCTAATAAAATGACTTAAAAAAAAAGAGAGAGAGACTTCAAACTCACCAGGAGGGCCCAGCATGCCCTTGGGCCCTCTAGCTGTTCAGTGTGCCCACTCCCAATGGCCTTGTCCCCCACCACTCACCCCACGGACAGCTGGGCTGAGGTATCTGCAAACGCGATCCTCTGCCACCCCCGTTTGGTTCCAGACCATGAATTTTACTATCTCCCTGGAGCGGTTCCAAAACAAAGTTTTATGTGACATTATACAAGGTGAGCCATCCTGGACCAGCTTAATGAAACAAAAGCCGATTTCCATTATCCCGTGGGGATGGAAGGACAGTGACTTGATCAATGAGGCCCTGGCTCCTCCCACCGATAGAAGACAGAGGCGGAGACTGGAGGCCTGGGGCTGTCCCTGGAATGGGACTGGGTGTTTCCGGTGTAGCCTGGAGAGGAGCAAGCAGGGACAGGCAACCCCCTAGGAACAGCCTGGAAATGGAAGCACAGCGATTTGTGTCCAGGTCCCGATGAGGGGATATGTCACCAAGAATAATCACAACAGTCACTGGCACTTCGCGAGCGCCTCCATGGCTTAGTGGTTATGCGTTGGGCTGCTACCCACAAGGTCAGCAGTTCAAAACCCCTGGCCGATCTGAGGGAGAAAAATGAGGCATTCTACTATAAATCTAGTTTCACCAGAGAAGTTGGACTATGTGAAGAAAAGTGTGGCTTCAGGATTGGATGAAGACTTATTAAACCACCTGCTGGATGCAGATGACACACCTTGCTTGCTGAAAGCGGGGAGAAATTGAAGCACTTGCTGATGAAGATCCAGGATCGCGGCCTTCAGTGTGGATGACAACTCACACCTGGACCCAGAGGCAGCATCATGATAAATGGGGGGAAAGATTGACGTTATCATGGATTTTGTCTTATCTGTGTCCACAGCCAATGCTGCATGGAAACATCAGTCAAGAGATCAAAAGATGTCTTGCATTCGGTAAACCTGCTGTGCAAGACCTCTTAAGAGTACTGAAGAGCAAGGATGGTATTTTGAGGGATAGGGTGCACCTGCCCCAAGCCAGGGTATTCTCCAGTGCATCTCCTGCATGTGAAAGCTGGACCCTGAATAAGGAAGACCGAGAACAGAGGCCGTTGAGTGGTGGTGCTGGAGAACACTGCGAGTACCATGGGGTGCTCAAAGGACACCCCAATCTGTCTTGGAAGAAGTAAGGCCAGAATGCTCCTTAGAGGCAAGGATGACAAGGCTTCATCTTACAGACTTTGGACATGTTGTCAGGAGAGACCAGTCCCTGGAGGACATCGTATTTGGTCAAGCGGAGGGGCAGTGACGAAGAGGAAGGCCCTGAATGAGATGGATGGACACAGCGGCTGCCACCATGGGCTCAGGCATGGGAACCATAGTGAGATGGCAGGGAACCGTGGGTCCGAGCTGGCTGGATGGCATCTAACAGCAACAACTCTGGTAAAGAGTTACAGTCTCAGAAACCCACAGAGACCGTTGTGCCCTGTCGCATAGGGTCAACCGATGGCAGTGAGTTTAGGTTTGGTTTGGTCGACAACAGGGACAATGGGGTGATTCTCCCAGACCCTCCAGGCTCCTTGGGAGCTTGGAAAGAAAGAAGGTACAGCAGCTGACACACAGTAGGAGCTCCTGTGCCCCATTCCACTTCTCAACCCAGCACCTGGAGCCCCAGGGAGCTGGCACCCAGTGAAGGCACCTTGTCATTGCCATCCAAGACCACGGGCACTTCACAGGGGCCCCACCACCACGGGGCCCCACCACCACCCTCTAGACGCCACGAGGTGACTTCTCGGAGTGAGGGGGTGCTTCTGGAAGAAGAAAGCCACCCACCCACGCGTTGGCTCTAACTCCGGATCACTCCATACTTCAAGCTTTGCGCATTCTTACAGGATGGGCCCACCATAAGAGTGTGTTCATGTGAAGGATGAAAAATACCCCGCTCACCGGCATCAGTGTTTGCCCGGCAGCCATGGCAGCCCTCAGGGGGTGGGGGTGAGGGGCTGAAGAAGCTGTACAAGAGCACAGATTGTGCGCCTGCTGTGTGATCCTGGTCAAGCCACTGGACCTCTCTGTACCTCTGTTTCTGCTTCTGTCAGAGGGGAGGGGGGGGCAATGGGGAGAGACGAATCACCCACAGGGTTGTCGGGAGGACTCAGTGGAGTGGACAGGGGTCTCAGGAGTGGCCTTGGTGTGTAAAGTCCTGAGCAGCGTCATAGTTAATCCTATCCCCACCCC